ACCCCCTGCCGCTGGCTGGCTCCTGTCCCCGACCCACGTGGCCTGCTCTCTGCCACGTGAGGAGAAAGAAGGCTCTGGTCATGCTGCCGGCTCCCAAACTCAAGGTGGCTCCGGCCGAGAGCACAGTCTAGCCCCTGCGTTGTCCAGATCGGCTGTGTGATCTTGACCCTCTCACTTCCCGTCTCTGAGCTGGCTTCGCCCTCATCCCATGGTGGGGTTTGTCCATGCTAGCCTGTTAAAGGATGCGGAGCACCCCTAAACCATGGCTGTGGTGCTATCTGGACAATGGGAGTTGGACCCATGCTCCTGGGGACTCATGTAGCCTGTAGGGGACGAGAATCATGGGATTCAACCTTCTTACACTGTAGGGCCTGGCCCAGAGTCACGCACTTCCCATTCACTTTGTTTTTTGGAGAGATTTTCACTGTAGGGCGCGTGCGCTCGCCAGACAGACACAGAGAGAAAGAGAGACAGAAAGCGAGAAATCAACCCCCAGGGGGGATGGTCATGCCGCAATCCCTTCTCCTCCATTCTCCTCTCGGGATCTTGGGCACGCACGCACGCACACGCGCCTGGCTTGAGTTTTAAGCCACCGGGTCTGGGACACGAACCGCGGTCGACTACATGGGAGTCCAGCGACATAGCCATTACGCTAACTGCTGGTTCCCTCATTCACTTTTCAAACCCACCTGTGCACAAATGCAGGGGTGAAGTATCCAGTCAAGGAACAGCGCTGGGGCCCTCCTAAGAGAAGAGCCTAATAGGACCCAGAGGAGGGCAGCGAGCCAGCAGGGGGCCTTTCCTATGCGTTGTCAAAACGCACCAGAAGTACGACTTGTTGGTTCTGGCCACACGACTGTCTGCTGATAGTAAGACATACCCAGAGGAGGGATGGACATCATGTTCAGATAGGGCGTGTCCCAGGAAGAGAAGGGACCGAAAGGAATAGCAGGATGGTGTTTGACTCCTTGAAGAAGCTGGCCTGGTACAAAGGGGTGACACCCGCTAAATCTGGCAGGCTGCTGCCTGCTGAAACAACGGACATTTTTAGACCCGAATGTATGTGTTTGTAAACTACAAACATGCTTGAGAACACGGTTGGGTTGAATGCAGCTTCTTGATCGTCACAGGCCTCCAACAGATGTGAAGGTGTTATGCTGGGTGGCTTTCGGCAGCCATCAGACTGAAAAGGTGACCATTAGGATAATGAAGACACAGCATGAGCCTTCACAGCTCAGATCCTGAGCCTGGGGCCAGCCCCAGGCCACAGCAGCCAGAGGAGGACGGAAAGGTTGGTTCTTGCATGGCTGCTAGCCCACCTGGTCCACAGGGCGCCCCTCGCCGCAGAGGAGTTGAGATAGGGAGGCAAGACATTTGAGGGACACAGAAGTGGAGGAGTGTGCGGGAGATACATGTGTATGATACCTTCACCTGGACTGGTGGGAAGTGTGTTCATGTCAGGCAAATCCATCTTACAGGCTGTCGTGATGCACAGTAATTGAATGTATAAAATTAAAGAAAGTAAATAGAAAGAAAAAGAACAAAAGCACAGAGAGAGATGGAAGGAACTGAGAAGAGGTTTGATGAAGGAAACGTGAGCAGACTCAGCGGCTCGCCATCACTCTCAGTTCATTAACTTGCAGCTTCCTAGGCTGCCGGCCTCCCCGAGGGCACAGACAGGGGCCTGCCGCACCCTCTGAGGGAGCAGGTCTGAAGGTGAATGAGGGGTCTTGGAGCTGACTAGCTCACTCTGTGAACCAGCCATGGGTAAACCGGTCGTGGTCACCGGTGAGCGCGGTTGGAGATGAAAAGGAGCTGACTGTAACCCTGAGGCTTCTGCTCTGGAGCCGTGACCCCGCCAGAGCTGCACCTGGGGATACCTGCACCTGCAAAGATTTGGAGAGCAGGAGCCAGCACTCAGCACACACCTGGGGCCCGTGGAGGCGCTGCCTCTGCTCCACGCTGGCTGTCCCTACAGGCGCGAGTCTGCCCACGAGAGTGACCGTTGCTGGTAAGGGCAGTGGGACGGGGCTGGCCAGGTACTTGCAATGACTGCTTTGACTCAGCCTTTGCAAGCCAGCTGGGAAGTTAGGGTGCAGTCGGAGTGTCCCAGGGCACCCTGGGCTCTCACTGTTTCACACTAGGTTTCTGAAACAGGACTGGTGTGTGTGGGGGCAAGTCCCGAGGTACTGCTGCTTGCTGGCTATGTCACCTCGGTAAAGCTGACACCACCGTACCTGCGCCCGGCTTCTTTCTCTGTCAGTGGTGATCGTAATGTCCCTACCCTACCGGATGGTTGTGAAGTTTAAATGAGACAATGTGTGGGAAAGGTTTTATTTATTTATTATTTATTTTTGAGCAGGATTATTTCTCTGTATAAAGATTTTTAAAAATGGGAATGCTCTGTGAAGAGTACCTGGGTGTCTAGGATTGACAGGTGTTCATGAATGGGGATCAGGGACTGCTGGGCCCCCTAAACTGGAAGGTCTTGTGTTTGTATACGTATGTAGGAACGTTGTTTCTCCTCAGGAACGAAGTCTAGAGTTTAACAAAGATGGCTGAGTGGGGCCACCACTCCAGACCGGATGCCTAGCGGGTTGCCTTTATT